ATATATATATATATATATATATATATATATATATATATATATATATATATATATAACAACAGTTATAATAGCCTGCCTAGAGGTTCAGTCTGCTCTAATAGTTCAGGGGCTGAGGTAGACCAGTTTGCAACCCCTTGGCACTTCCTTGAACTCACTCTGCCTAGGTGGTTGAAACCCTGTAGAGAGAAGGCAGAAGAGACCCCAGTCACATATATGTGCATATTGCCTTAACAAAACATTACCAAAGAACCTGGGAACAAGAATTTCTATTTGCATGGTATTGATGCTTTTAGTAACTTGGTCTTCTTTGTTTTGTACAGAACTTCGTATATTTCCTGAAAGATTTGTGGTCTGTGTTAGTCAGCTTGCATTCAGTCCTGATACTTGGACAAGCCAGAATCAAAAGTCGGTATGTATGAAAAACATTCTGTGAGAGAATCTTCTTAGTGCTGATTAATGATGGTGGTGGTGGTGGTGGTAGTGGTGGTGGTGGTGGTGGTGGTGATGGTGATGGTGATGTGGGTGTGGTGCTGGTGTGTATGGTGGTAGTGGTGTGTGTGTGTGGTGGTGGTAGTGGTGTGTGTGTGTGTGTGTGTGTGTGTGTGTGTGTGTGTGTGTGTTTAGTGTGTGGTGGTGGTAATGTGTGTGTGGTGGTAGAGGTGTGTGTGTGTGGTGGTGGTAGTGGTAATATGTGTGCAGTGGTAGTGTGTGTGGTGGTGGTGGTAATGTGTGTGTGGTGGTGGTAGTGTGTGTGTGTGGTGGTGGTGTGTGTGTGTGGTGGTGGTGGTGGTGGTGGTAATTGTGTGGTGGTGGTAGTAATGTGTGTGGTGGTGGTTGTGTATGTGGTGGTGGTAATGTGTGTGTGGTGGTGGTTGTGTATGTGGTGGTGGTAATGTGTGTGTGATGGTAGTTGTGTATGTGGTGGTGGTAATGTGTGTGTGGTGGTGGTAATGTGTGTATATGGTGGTGGTAATGTGTGTGTGATGATGGTGTGTGCAGTGCTATGTGTGGTGATGGTGGTAATTAATGTGTGTGTGGTGCTGTGTGTGGTGGTGGTGGTAATGTGTGTGTGGTGGTGGTAATGGTATGTGTGGTGGTGTGTGTGGGGGACGGGTGGTTGCCTTCTATTATCAGTTGTTCAGTGTGTTTTAAGAGGGTAGAGATGCCTGTTTTGCCTGGTAACACTGATCAGTTAATGAGTTGGTAATTAATGTGTTGGGTTTTTGTTTCTTTCCTCTCTAATACCATGAATATTTAGTTTGATAAATAATATCTCATTACTTTCAACTTTAAATGAGGCAACAACACATCAGGAAAACCTTGATGGTGTTTGTGATGATATGGAAATGAAAAGAAGCAAAATCTATGCTTCCACTAGAAGTTTCCATTGGGGTCAGTGGCTTCTGCATTGTATTCCATGGTGAATCACTGACGTTTTTCATGGGAACTAGTGTTTCTCCCCAGTGTATTATTTCATGGCTAATAGGGTTCATTTTCTCTTGCTTTTTTTTCTCATGCTAAGCTTGAGCTCTGTTAGGGCCTCCTTCTGTTTCACTGGAGTTCTCTACTCAGACAAATAAATGTAGAAAACCTACTCAAAATGTAGCTTACAGCTGTGGTTTTTAAGCTTAACACGCACTCTTCACAGTGTCCTTGTTGTGTGTATATGTATCTTGCTGCAGTCTCAGCTCAGTCTATTTAACTTATCCTTAAAAAATAAAAAAATAAAAAAATTTAGGTCTATGGCTTGAACCTTCAATGAACAGGAAAAAAAAATAGAAGACATTAACCCAGCCATAAAGTATGACATGATTATTATGCTTCTAAAATAATTTATGGGGATATTAGATTATCCCTGTTGCTTATTATTTTTTAACCCATATGAAATTTGAAGTATGGCCCACATAGTATAAAACCAGCTTCTTATCTCATCTTAAGTAAATACATAAATGTTTCAGAGGTTCTGTGAGACAATAGAGACCCAGAAAAAGCAAAGAGCTGAAAACTCATGCTTACATTTGGTTCCTTTGTTTTGAGCAGAGGATCCTTTTAAAAAAGCCATTGTAACCCTTTTATTTCCTCTTCGTCCATCAACAATGCTCTACGAATATACATGAAATAAGATCAGTGAAGCAAATTTGGCCAAAGGCATTAAAAGTTTGTTTTTTTGGAATATTTCCAGGACACTGCATTATCTTAGTGAATTAATAAATACTAAAGTAATTTTATTGGCATATATTTTAATAAATATTGCTTAACTGATTTTTCAGAGCAAGGAAGAATTGATCTGTGGTTTAAAAAAATAATTATTAACTCTACCAGAATGTTATTGCTTGCAGATGGGATACAGGAGAAATCAGATCTTCTATCTGATGTGTAATGTTAATACTTAATATCTTAAATTGTTAAGGAGGAATTAAAGCATCTGAATACAAATGAAACACTATCCCCTTGGGGGCTCTAGTATTTATACAGATGTAAGTTTTCTGTAGCTGCTGTTATATAAATCCTGCAATCCGGAGAACTTCCTCATTACTGAAAACTTTCATTGTGAACCAGTCCTTCATTTTATTAACCCAGCTGAACATTTTACATGGGGAGTTCAGTTTCCTCATCTTTAGTGGGTACACTATCAAATTCGACCGTGTTAGCTCATAAGAAAAAGTCATTTACATCACACAGTTCTTTCGTTATCTTTGGTGACTCTTTTTAGTTATGTCTCACTTGCCCTTCACATACATGTTCCCAGCGACACAGACAAGAGTCAGGGGACAGAGTTGGTACACCAAACAGCTCCATTGCCACATGTGCTCGGGTCTCAGCTGAACACCTCCCCTTCTCAGGGCCTTCAGCCCACCACTCTCTCAGGTATAGCATCTGTAGAAGCCGTGAAATATCTAGGCATCTCCTGCAAATCCCTCATCAAGCCAGTTATACAGTCTTCCCACCATTGAGATCTGACCTCTTGAGAGTGCACCTGTCTCAGTTATTTAGGGATCAATAAACAGTCCTTCCCTCTCTGATGCTTCCTGCCAGAGAGAGAGAATAAATTCATTCTCAGGATGTACTCCAAACATCCAAACCTGTCGGTGTCAAGCTCCCCCAACACCCAAGAATTTGGATTTCTTTTCATTTTATATTGAGATTGACAGAAGGGCAGGATCCATCTCATTTTCTCCTGGTAGTCATTCTCAGGGAACTCCTGATTAGGCAAGGCATGGGAACTTGGCTCCCCATGTAGCTACATTGGCAATAAACTACAGCTATTTTTTTTATAATTGTTTATAACTCGCTGTTTTACATTCACAGGATTGATGGGGAATGGTCTTGTTCCTGATAGCAGCCTCAACCTCTCACTGGTACTGTAGCCCTTAGGGAGTTTTCTTTTAGTTTCCTGTGCTCTCTGGGTCATCTGTGTCTTAAGTGAGAATTGGTTAGGAAATCTTGGAGCATCTATTGAAAACTACTTTGCCCTTTGCCTAGGGAGTCTTTCAGCCTTCAGACTAGGAAGCCAGCAGCATTTGGCACGCTAGTTCTTCAAGATAGCGGCACCAAAGAACATGTCCCAGATGAGCAGCAGCACAGAGAGGCGAGCAGTTCTTGCTGTCCCTTTACCACCATGCCAAAGAAGTCCATTTCCCCTCTGTCAACTCTCTCTGTCCATGTGGGACAGACAGTAGAGGAAGGTCCTCATGTTGCAATAGCCCTGCACAGTGTTCATATGTTTGGGTTGTGGAAACTGAGCTGTGTACTTTGGGAAGCAAGGGCATTATTATGAAATGAGTCACTGTATTTTTCTTACTAGAGTTTCTCATAAGAAATCTCAAAACTCTTAGAGCCTCAGATTTGACCTAGTGCTGGATGTGGAGCCAGTCTTTCTGACAGTTTTTACCTTTGCTTGCTCTGTTTACTTTTTCCTTCGCAATAAAGAACATCAAGTCAGATTTTACTGTACTTGTTCTATTCCACAATATTGGCTTCCCTCTTCTTTTTTTTTTTTTTCTTCCCCTTTATCCCAAACTCTACACAGTCTCCTATGTAGAAACTGTTCCTTTTCAGTTGTAAAGCCCTGGAGATTTGGAGAAATCTGAAGTTACTTACTAGTTTCTGTGATTTCTTTATTGAAGTTATGTAAATAACCATGGACCTTTGTATATATCTAGGACATTTCAGGGTCATTGCAAAGCTACTGTTTGATTGTGTGTTAGTTACAAGCCACTCCTTGTCTCTGGAGACCACGGTTCCCATCTGCTCTGACCATTACATGGAACAGAATGTTCTGGGTGCTGGCTCTATACCAGGATCTCTACTGGGCTTCAGTGACACAAAAATAGGAAAATACTGTTGCCTTCTAACTGCTTATAGTCTGGGAGATTGACACTACTGCTGAGTATCCTGGCCACCTAAAATCAGTCATACCCTTTCTACTATTCCAAAAGGAAGCCCAGAATTTTAGACTTCCATTCTTTCTTTTAAAGCTGTACTGTGTCAAAGTTTGAGATCCTTTTGGAAATTTGAAAGTGACACACAGTGTTAGAGCTGCCTAAAAGCAGATCCATGCATTAAGGTTTGGGGGTTTTCCATCTTGTCCTTCCTCTGAGGTGTGGCTGAGCTATGAAAATAGCTGTCATGATTGCACACAACCCCAGCCATCATGGCAGGGTCCTCTCTGTAGCATGGACTATAGAGAAAGATTATTAAGAGGTCCTGACAATCGGCAGCATCTAAACACTTAAGTTGACTACTTCTCTAAGCCAGGCTACTGTTAAAAAGAAAAAAAAAAAAAAACCCTTCTCGTTTATAAATATAAGAATGAAGTAAAAATTAGTCTAAGCAATAAACTATTGTAGACTGAGTTATATTTAGCATAGGTCTTATGTTCCTCAGTTATGTGCAGTCCAACCTCTGCTGGCTGAGCGCTCCTCCATATGAAAGAAAGTGTCCAGTTATCTCAAAAATCCTTTCTCAGATGGAATTTCAGTCAGGAAAAAAAGATGAAAATACACTAAATGAGAACTTTAATGTGATTTTCACACAAGATAGATTTTAAAAAAATGCAACAATAATCTTGCAGAATCCTGTCATGTTTTATTTTAGGAAAGATAAAAGTTTTAAGAAAAGATTTTAGGCCTTATGTTTTTAAAACAAAAGAAATACAGTGGCATTGGTGTTCTATGAAAATAGCTGCTCGCTGCAGAGGACAGGTCCTCACCATAGCATTGTCTTGGTAGAAGGAATGCTTGAACATCCTGACAAAAGACAAGATGTAAGCACTGAGTTGAATATAGCTCTTAAGGCAGACTGTTGTTGAGTGTTAAAGAATTCTTACAGTGCTTGCCCCCTGCAGAGGCTGACTGCCAGTTCCTTCTCCAGGTAGCTGGGGCCATGGCTCAGGATCAAAACATGGTC